CTTTCAAGATCTATAACAAGTTTAATTTTGATTTTTTTTTTGGAGAAAAATATATAGTTGTGTCATAAACTTTAATTACTATTATTTTTTTATGAAATTGGATAAGCTTTTAAAATATTGTCCATATTTGGCACTGTTTAGATTATCTAAAGAGCGTACAATGAAGGGTTTTGAGTTTAATTCGTCAATTTCATGTTGCGACTTTTTTTTCTATTTCTGAGAAAATGGCTAATTTGTAGGTATTCTTGATAGGATCGGCAGTGAACTATTCTCCATTTGGAGTGGAGAACAAAGAGTGTTTACAATTTTATTTTTTCAAAGACTGCTTCTTCTACCTTTTCAGCAGATAAATTAGGAAAATGAGACATTTTAGGTTTTCAATTGAAATCTATATAGCTTGGCAGTATTTTTCAAAAATAGCCACTGTCAAAATGTATGTAGACAGTTATACAGTGACAGTTATAACTAAGTGACATTTTTTTTTTCTTTAATTCAAATATTTAGCAAGAAACTGCATTAAAACTTTTTCAGTAAAACCACAAGTTAACCCCTCGGGTAGTCAAGGGTTAAGATTGTTTTCAGGTTTTTTAGTAATCTACATATTTTGTCATAATTAATTTTTGGTACAAAAATGCGTAAAATTACCTACACCGCTATGGAGAGATCGCTTGCAGGGATTTTCTCTTTCGATGGCTTATTAAGGGTACGTCAGGCAGCTAGTCTATTAATTAGATATTGGTTCTCATACAAATAAAATCGCAATTTGGAGTCGGCGTAAAATGCCACAAATCGGCCCAACACTGATATATATGTAAGCGCCGATCTATTATTATTCAGATCTAAACTCTTCTAGCCTCTCTTAAAGAAGTTTGAAACAATCCGAATGTTGGTTAGTGAGGATAAATGTATAAAAACTCTATTATTTTAACAACACAATAAAAATAGTGCAGTCAAATTAAAACTTCTGGAAACTGGATGGCGGTCAGTTCTGAATACAGTTAAACTTGTTGCTACTAATTTGACTGTACTTTATTTAAATTTTATTATTTTATCTTAGATCTACATTTACGTATTTGGAGAAAGAAATCATATGTCCTCATGTACTTCGTTTATTATATACATAAAAAAAATTGTCTAAATCCGTTCAGTAGCGTGGGTAAAATATCTCGCCTTTCCTGTATACTATGTGTAGAAGACAGTAATTTTAGATAGGTGGCAACGCTACTCAAAAAACTTCAAGTTTTTGTACGTGCGAAGGCCATACACTTTCATTTGGTATCTTATTTTTAAATCCAACGAACGGTGAAGATCTTATAGTTTTTAAACAGGTGGCAACCCTACTCAGAAAAATAATACATTATTACACATCCAGAGGCTAATGGCCTTATTCATAAAAAATAAAACAGGTTTAAAGAGCTCTATAAAGTGACATTTTCATACAAAAATTCGATTTATAAAGCAGTTAAATTGTTTTTTATTTTTTATGAATTTGGGTATGTGTCTTTTCGTTTACAGTGACGGCAAAGAACTGATGCCTACGATTATGATGATTGAATATGGTAATTTTATTAACAGGTGGCAGCCCTATTAAAAAATAAAATTAGTGCTTTTATAGAGGCCAATCCCTTTCATTTGACACCTCATCTTTTGTAATTCAACGAACGGCGCGGATCTTCTAGTTTTTTAGACAGGTGGCAACCATACTAATGTTCTAAGTAAAAAAAGATCCCTCTCCTGTATACAGTATATTGGAGAAAATCTCGTCAAAATCCGTTCATTAGTTTTCGAGATTATCGCGTACAAAGAATCTCGACTTTCCTTTATACTATGTATAGATATTTGTGACATACATTTTTTTTTAAATCGCAACTCAAACCTATTCAACAATTAAATTATCTATGTGAATATGGATAGTTTTTTAATCAACTTGAGTCCAAATCTGAAAATTTCCACACAAAGCTTATTTTTTTAAACCCTATACAGACCGCTTAAAGTTATTCTTAAGTCCACCTAAGCAATTAACGGCCCACCTTTAATTATATTTGTAAAATAAAACAACGTCTAATTCGTGCCACAGCCATTTTGTTAAAGAAATTAAGGAAAAAATCAAATTGGGCGTTGAAATCAGTCAGCCAAGTCGTCACTCATTCACCGAGTGCAGCATTTGTATATGGATTTTTACGTAACGTAACCATACTAAGTATGCATGTATTTGCAGTAAAAAAAAAAACGAAACGAATATACAACAAAAAAAAACCAAGCAAAGCCAACAACAATTTGTTTGAAACGCTCGAGAGGTCGCAGTCAACACGCCCACGGCAATCACGCAACACAACTTTGCAGGCGAAAACGATTAATACAAAAACAGCGACAACAACAACAACATCAGAAATGCAACCAGCAAACGCTTTAACATTTGGTAAGCCAAGTGCGCTCGGAGGCCAACCTACAAAAATTACAATAACGTAGAAAATTAAAAGCGAAAAAATACATAGGAAAACCCTCCTTAAATGATCCCCAATAAAAATTAGTTGCAAAAAACTCTACTTCTAGAAGTTAATAAAAAGGAAACAGCAAATGCGAGCACAAAAAGCGAAAAAGTTATTGTAGGTGTTTTCACATGCTTGGTTGCATGATTTAAACGCTTAAGTTAATGTTTAGCTGCATATGTATGTAGCTACTGTTGTTGTTTCAACTTTTTTCTAAATGTAGCAGGGCCAAAGACGTTGCCAACGTTATCGCCTTTCGAATAGCAAATAACACTGTGCGACAAAAATCAAAAATTTTTGAAACACACGAAAAAGTCTATATATTCTCTGACGTCAGCATTTTTTAAAGGGCTTTGAAATTTTCCGGATATGACTGAATAAAAAAATGATTTAAAAGATTTTGTGCATTGGAGAGTAAC